AATACTGTAATAGTGGCCGCTGTTATTCGACAGCTCCTTCAAGCAATGATCAATGTCGGTGCACAACCACAACAAATGCACTTGATCGGCCATAGTTTGGGTGCACATATATCGAGTTATGTGGGACGAGATTTACCTAATTTAGGACGCATCTCTGGCTTGGGTATATTCATATCAGAAATTGTAGACCATTCATGTTTTTTTTCTGAGTATAGATCCTGCCGGACCTGATTTCTACGTTTCTCTGATTCCTGACCGTCTCGATCACTCCGATGCTCTGTTTGTGGATGTGATTCACACGGATGGTGCACCTCGCGTACACTCTGGTTTCGGTCATTTGGAGCCATTGGGACATGTAGATTTCTATCCTAATGGTGGTTCTGCTCAGCCCAGTGAGTCTCTATAAATTCATTGACAACATGGAACTTCCTCTTTTTCCTTTCATATAGCGTGTGGTAGTAATACCGGTGCCGTCTTACTACAATCGGCATGGAGTTTAATCAGTACCTTTAATGTGGCAAGTGAGTAAAACTCTCTTGCAGCTTCACTTAAACTGCTTGTCTCTGCACTTTAGATGCTGCCGATACGTTTGCCTGCAATCACATGTCAGCCGTGTACTATTACACTGATTCAATCAATACACCTTCACCGGCTTTTGCTTATCCTTGTTCGGACTATAAAAGTTTCGAGCAAGGTTTGTGTACATCTTGTGGTTCGAGTCCCAATCAATGCCAACGAATCGGCTATCATGCTTCACCATCAAAAGCACTTGGTACACTGTATCTCATGACATTGCATGGAGTCAAGCCACCTCATTTAGGTCTGCACTCATGTCACTAGAGAGAGAGAGAGAAAGAAGAAAGAGAAAGATTGAAGTTTTATTTTTCTAGGCTTTCACTTCAGAGTGACACTTGAATCGGACATGAACGACAATGGACAGCAAACACGAGGCATCATCAAAGTCAAATTCGATGAACAAGAAGAGGACGCATCGTTGTTCGAGTATGTGAATATATACAAACATGTTCAAATAAATTCATTTGTTCTATTCAGTCAAAATACACTGCTCAAACGTGGCTCTATCAATTCAAAAACGATTCTCATTGCCAACAAGCCCAAGACACTGAAAAAGATCAACATTTCATTCAAAAAAAGTCTAGGTTTCAATCTCGGCATTGGTCTCGCCGATCAATGGAATTTTCGTTCTGTCACTGTGCTTGATATGCAATCCAATTCCAGGTTAGTCATCCATTCATTAATTAATAGACAACACGCTACCGTTTTTTCTTTATCTAGTTACAAATTTTGTCCGACATCGAATTCACCGATGATCAAGAGCGGCTCGAATCTGACGTACAAATTGTGTTGAAGTTTTAATCTCATTTGTTCTTTGTCTAGTGGGAAATAAATACGATGACATTTTCTCCAGCAAAAGCATTTGTTCAGCTTCTGTGTATCACTCCAATGTTCTGTGCACTCCAAACATACAAAGTTTAAAAGGCACTCATATATACGAACAACCATAAAGGAATTAATTTTCTGCATGTGTTGCCCCATATCATCAAAGTTGTGCAAAAATCGACGATTTGTCGCGATATTTCTCTGATCGGTAAACTCCTTAATCCTAACCTTAACCCTTTAATTCTCAACTGAAGAAAAAGGTATCGTTCCGAACTCAGGGTGTGGGGTATGGGTGTTATTATTTACTTTTAATGACCAAAACAATTTCATACCTGTTAAATAGTTTATAAAATCTTTAGATTCGATTGAGTTTAATGTTAATTTGCGAAGTTGAACATAGTCACAGGCAAGTAGAATATGTTCCAGGGAGGGTGTGCGGGTATGTGAATTTGGTCTGGGTGGCGGGTGGGTCTTGCATTTACCAGCATCTATGCTCACATCCGTCCTCACACCCCAAGGGGAAAAAAACGGAATCCTGGAATCCTGGAATCCGGTGGAATATTACGGAATCTCACGGAATCCCACGGAATCATGGAATCCAATGGAATCCAATGGAATCCGTTGGAATCGAATGGAATCCGATGGAATCCATTGGAATCCATTGGAATCGAATGGAATCCATTGGAATCGAATGGAATCCAATGGGATCCAATGGAATCTGATGGAATGCAATGGAATCCAGTGGAATCCTATAGAACCTTTGAACCTTCAGTTCAAAAGCCCATAGAAATACTACTATTGCAGGAAAATCTGTTCAGATACATCAAGAATTAATAGAACAGTCCAAGAACATTTATCGAAATTTTCTTACTGAGAACCTCTTCATTTCAAATCTTGATGTTACAAATTTATCTCTTTCGATATATATTTTAGATTGAGATCAGTAAACATACCAGAAAATAGAATATAATCCATAGATGTCAAAACGAAAATGAAGAAGGTTTAAATATAAACATTTTAAAAAAATTCAGTAGCGGAAGGAAGATTGATGGTAAGGTTACTCATACTTAGACATAATGTCACGTGTTCAAAATCAGTAAAAAAATATTGAATATAAATACTTAAATAAAACGTTTATCATTTGTTTCCTCGACTGTAGGGAGGGTAATATGGAAAAAAACGGTTGTGTGTATGTGTGTCTGCATCGGGGTCAAAAAAACATCAGCTTGTGCATAAAACTTGACCAAAGGGTAATTGAGAGTGGGGAATTCGAACCCGAGGTTAGTTTTAACTAATTATTAACTAACTAATTAATTTATTAATTATTAATTAATCATAAACTCATGGTATTTTACATAAAACTTGACCAAGGGGCAATCGACGGTGAGGAGTTCGAATCCGAGGTTAGTTTTAGATAATTATTAATTAATTGTTAATTGGTCATTAATTATTAGTATTTTACATAAAACTTGAGCAAAGGGTAATCGAGGGCAGGGATTTCAAATCCGTGGTTAATTTTAATTTATTATTTATTATTTATTAACTAATCGTTAATTATTGGTGTTTTACATAAAACTTTAACAAAAGGTAATCGAGGTCGGGGAATCCAAATCTGGAGGCAGTTTTGGAAATTTTTAATTGAGTTCTTTTGCGCTGTCGGGAAAATTTTTTTGAGAAAATAAAATTTCCTCGAGTATAGCAAGGTTATATGAAATAAAGTAAATTTTTGACTGTTTTTGTCAGAGTGAAAGGTGAAACGTCATAAAAATGTTGGCGAAGTGTTTCTTGCTCCTGCTTTTGATATGACTTTCAACCAATTCGGTTTTTCAGACTGAAAATTCAGTCAATCCGACGTGTGTGATACGTTTTCCCTTAACCAGCTGTTTCATAACTGTGTTTCCATGAATGAAACTTGTTTTTAGCTGAGTCTCTAACTGGTGATGCCTTGTGTAAGACTACTCTAGTTAGTCAGACATTCTGGGTCTTGAATTGGAGACAATATGAGTTCGTTGTTAGTAGTTAAAGAGTTGTAGTTTTCTTGAGAATACTGTCAGGCTTTAAGATATATCCTGATCGAAATTTTCGTCTAATAGTGGGGAAAGAAGCACATGATGGTGGGATATTCAACTTTTTTATTTTATATTTTTGTTAGAATCGTGATAAATATGCTCATAGCTGTTTTGGAAAAGCTTGCAAGTCTAGCAGTTTCCGAGGTAAGACCAATCTGGGATCTGATAGGGTTTAAGTGAAAAGATTTATGTCAGGGTACAGTAAGATCAAAGGTGGCAGCAGCTAGTTGCGAATGGCGCCCCAAAGGGGCGCCGAGGAGCGTCTAGCTACTGTATTAGGTCGTCTGCAGAAGTGCCGATTCGAAGTATTGGAATTCATTGAATAATCATCAATAGTCGAGGTTAAATGCGTCTGATTAAGCAATATCAGAAGCAAAAAGCTAAAAAAACTATTTCCAGTCAAGGATGAGAAACGACTTTTGTCTTTAGACACAATAGCTAAATAATTCATCGGACAAAAAAACATCATTCGAAAAATTTATATTTGTTCTATCAGCAGTGGACATGAATGAAAAAAACTAGAGTTTCTCCTGGTATATGCCTTTGATTGTATTAATTCAAGTATCTGCATGTATGTTGATATATTCAAATTACCTGTCTAGTAAACATTATCGTTAGTTCATGCGTTAGTAAGTGAGTGGATTTTTAGCAGAAGTTTTAAAGAGCATGGCACGTTTTCGCAAAATTGTCACAAATGTTTTTTGTTTTTTTGCCTCTCAGCAAACTGAATAAAAGCTCTTTTTGTTCGGTTACATGTGGGTATCCATGTCATAGTTTAGTTCGTTAGATTTTTATTGAGTATCAGTGTGAGGGTATCAAATTGATTAGATGTATTCGTGACAAAAATGATCATCCGGACCCACATACCATTGTGCACAACGCGATTGATGCTAATACCAACGTACAAACACCTACTCACTCTTTCGAAGTATTGGCTACTAGCTGTGTTGAAGACTGTAAAGCACTATAAAATATCAAAGGACTGAATATACAGTCGAGGGTCAAGCGAGTCACTCGGGCGAGCGTTACTTGTATATAAATAATACGACAATACACACTGAATATATATGTTGTAGGCAAAATTGAGATTCAGGCAAATTCCAGTTTTGCCTAGGCAAAATTGGAATTCTAATTTTGCCTAGGGGGCTATTCAAATACATGAACAGTCAACAGTATGGCTATTGACTGACAAAAATGATCGTCTGTCAATCGATAGGTTATCACGAGTTATGGAAGGAAGCAAGTAAAATTAAATAAAAAACGATTCGAATATTTCTGTATATTGAAACATCAGTTATATGATTATTAACATCAAAAATATCAAAAGTTTTTATTAATAAAGAATTTCACTGATGCAGCTACATACTTAGGCATCTGATGAGATAAATCGATCTAAATCTATTGATAGATAAATGAGGAGATTGACTCGGTCACAACGCTTCTAGTGGAGGTAATGCAACCCTATGAACTACGACTCAGCAAACAAATATCAAGTCATTGATATACACATATATCAATAACCACAAACGAATACAATAAAGAAAAATGAAACAAAAATCAGCATGGAAACCTAAGGGTGATACAGGTGCAGTTCTTTGACAGGTTTAGAAGCTAATTAAAAATCTAGAGAAGTTTTAAGGAATCCAAAAGAATGTCATAGAATCCTAAAGAATCCAATGGAAGCCAATGGAATCCAATGGAAGCCAATGGAATCCAATGGAAGCCAATGGAATCCAATGGAAGCCAATGGAAGCCAATGGAATCCAATGGAATCCAATGGAATCCTACGGAATCCTTGGAATCCGAAAGAATCAGAGGGAATCTTTGGAATCCAGAGGAATTCAGGATTCCAGGATTCCGTTTTTTCCCCCTTGTCACACCCACAGTCGGACTATCAATAGTTTATCTTTTTTTTATTAGAAATAAAACCTTTTCTTTCTATTCAAAGATTCATCCTCCATATCTCATTTATGCTTTTAGTTTCTCGCTTCTATTTTTTAAGTTTCGTTTTATTTCTGTTTATGTTTAACGAATATCATGCAGTCCTGATAATTATTAATTTTTCAATAAATAGCATAAAAAACTGGTGTTGAAATTGATTGCAATTTCCTCTAAGCTTTCTAATCGACGAGATTTAATTGATCGTTGTACTGCGTTTTAACCTTCGACTTAGTCGATTGTTGAGAAGCAAGAGTTGAAATTAGTAGATTGAATTCGTCTCTTCTTCAAAATATAGATTGATCCGTTTTCAATCGATTGACACACCCTCACCTCGACTGACAACCACATTCGTGTTCTATTTTTACCGTCGATGCCATTTATTTATTCAGTTGAACCCTCAAACTCATACATGGGTGGAAAAAACAGTTTCTTCCTGTACAATTTGCTGTTCTGCACATTCATTCAAACGTATTTCGATTCGTCGACCATCTTCCGTTCGTACAAGTGATGTTATCTTAAATGGTGCATAACGTAAAAGCAGCACTTCCTCTTCATGAGAAAAACAGGATATTCGTCCAATATAAAGCGCTGTGTGGCGCCGAATATTACTGATATTATATGTGCAATATATTGATATTCCTCCAGGAGAAGCAGCAGCAAAAGAATAAGCTACATCTGGATCCCTTGATGTTGATAGAAATGTTGTTGTTAATATTGTAGCACCTTCCCTGTAATTGGCTACAGCTTTCTCATCCTTAAGAAGTATGCCACGATAAACTGTTTCATTTCGAACAAGGTGTTGATTTAACTCTGGATGAAACAGAATGGTAGTGAATGCTTCTGTGTACTCTTGAGTAGAAGCCAGAATCGGACGGTTCAGAAGCGTACAATAAAGTTTTAGTAAATGATATGTATTTGCAGCTGAATGCTTATTCAGACGCTCAGTAAACTCGCTACTTCGAGTGTAGGCTCTAATAATCGATAATGGATTATTCTGTTGACGGGCTTGTTGAAAATATTCTCTAATCTGATTCCAACTGGTGCCAGTAGGTAAGAATTTTAAAAATGTTTCTTCTATTGTCCGCACTTAGTCAACTATACTGGAGGATAATTTTAGTTTTTGAAAATCCTTGTGAAAACCTTCAGCTATTTCTATATCTTTATCATTTTGATCAATATTCCAATGCCATTCTGGCCACTCTAACTTGTTTCGTTGACGTAAAATATCGTGTAGATCGCAGTCGCCAGCGCAATAGATCTTTTCTTGTAAATTTTCCAAGAGTGTTTCGAACGATGTTGCAGTTGTAGTAGAAGGCGATGCCGATATTAAAATCGTCCTCCTTCTAGTAATAGAACGTAGTATAGTCATCAATCATTCTCGGATTGTCGATAGCCATTGACGTGCAGTCATTTGGTTCATCTGAAAGTTCCACAGGTAAATAATAGCTTTATATCCGACGGACAATCCGATAGGAGTTTCGATAAGTCGATTTAAGGTTGTCTTAAATATCGAAGTTCCAGATGGATCCTCGGATTTTCACTTATTGATAAGTCAGTAAAACACGAATGTTTCGACCAGTCGAACAATTTTCATCAAGAGGAATCAAAATTTGACCAAAATAAAAAGGACTTTTTCCTATAGATGCCGCATTGGCGAGTAGTCGACATTTATAGAACAAACATGGAAGAAGAGGTTCGAACGTACATACTTATCATTAACATTCGTCGAATATCGAAACTGAATATGAACTATCACTGTTCTATGAAAATTATCTTTTCAATTCTTAGAAGGATAGTACTTTCATGATTGTAATTTGAACATTCACTAGCAGTATTTGAAAATTTAAAAAAAAAACTTTTTAATTGAATGGAAACACCTTTTCTGTGTCTCTAATTACAGAAAAGACATTTTCGAGGTCTCAGATACAATATAAGCAGTTTATTTGATAAATAATTTATTTGTGTGATCGAAGTATAAAATTAATGCTAAAAATACTTTCAAATATTCAAAATATGAAACTCATTATGAATATTTTTCATTGATAAAGTGTATGAAATTCAGTGTCATTTATTATTTTTCATCAGTCAATTTTATTTTTTTAGAAAATTATGAAATTAAAGAAAATACATATCGAACATATATCATTCTACTAAAACAGCCGAATGAAAGAGACATTTGTAAATAACTTTGTGATGAAGTTTTAAGAAATCAACATTAACCTCACCATTTGAAACGCTTATTTTGCTGGACTTGTTTCTACTGAAGCACTCAATACTTTGCAATTAGTATGTTTCTTTTCTCAAGTAGTCGAAACTTCGATGAGTATCGAGGGAGGGGATAAAAGTCCTTGAAGAGTCGAAAACCAATGCTCGCCAGAATACGGCTTTTGAGTAGTCGGGATCCAATGGCTGTCAAAGAATTCAAAATAGGAACAGAACGAAAAAAAACGCTTCAAATTTCCGAGCGCTCGTCACACCCCCTATATTTTATTTAAAGGCAACTTAAGTAAGCACCGAAAGAATTCTCGTTTCATGTTAGCCTCACTGGAGACGTAAACACTCAAGAATGATGAATACGCATATTGCTTTGTGCGACGATACCAATTTTGATGTATTTCCAAAATGCTCAGTATAGAAAATAGAGTACATGTAGAAAGTTAATTTACATCTGTACACCTTATAAAAAGTTCTAAATCTGCTAGTTTCTTCTTAATACTGTTTGGACACTATCATTCGCCTTTATTTATTCAACTTAAATTTAATGTCGGTTACAAAAAGGTAGAACAAAATATGAACTGGGTGTGAGTATGTGGTATGGGTAGGTGTGAATGAGTGTATGCGGAGTCGATGTGGGATGTGTGGTACACAGCTTACACACAATATAACTAATATTCATACCTTCAAGTTTATTACTTGATCAAATTGAGCACAAGATTTGATCTGAAGAAACCTGCTTGCTTTATGTCCCTGTATTTAAAAAGAGAGAAAGGTCAATACGTCATACTTACCCAATAGAGTACAGCAATATGTTTTATCCTTATTTAAAAATATTTGCTTACGTGCAACGAAGAGTGAATGAAATACTTTGTACAGGATAAATGTCTTTTTTGAGTTTTATTTCGTTCTCTCCGAAACAACCTTCGCGGTAAGAACAGAATTTAATTTGACGGCATTTTTTCGTTACTAAACATGCACAAAAATAAATCTTTTTTGTGCCGAAGGAAAAAGTTCTGATCCCCAAACGTGTATGGTTGGTGTGGGTGTGGATGTAGATGTGGGTGTAGGTGTGCGAATGTAGGTGTGAGCGTGTGTAGGTGTGGGTGTAGGTGTATGCGTGTGGGTGTGTAGGCGTGGGTGTGGGTGTGTGTGGATGTGCGTGATAGTGTGTAGGTATGGATGAAAGTCAAGAAATAACGAACATCCACACCGGCATCTAGCCATATCCACACACCCATTCCACATGCACACCCGACACCCGCAGCCATGCCCACACCTACACCCACACCCCAAGTCGAAAACAATAGAAGTCAAGTTATGGTTATTAACTCAAATGATCGTCAAAAGACATTATCGAAGCATACTGAACTAAGATTCATTTCATACCAATCTGAACAAAATAATTACCTTATTTTACCGATACTATCACAAAAAAGCAAGTGTCAACCAACATATTCGAAATCAACCTTTCATAAGAGGAACAACTCTGTAGATTGTTCCTGGATTCCATCAACATATGACAAGAGGAAAGTCCAATTCATGAACTTAACCTGTCGAATGGACAACAATGATGAAGAACAGTCCTAATGATTTGTCTGCCAAGAACAATTTTCATCACGCAATGATTTACAACAACATTTACGTCAGAAATATTATCCATCAGAAAGGTGGGAACAAACTGAAAAATTAACTCAACACGTCGAAGACAAAAAATAACGACAACACTCACAACAGGTTTTATGGAAACATAGAAAATTATTTGATCTTCGTCAACCGTCCATCATGCTATTGAAACTGGTACTCATCCACCAATTTGTACTTCATCATATCGTGTTTCATACAAGGATGAACAAATCCGAAGAGAAGAAATTGATAAATTATTCAAGCAAGGAATAATTGAAGAATTCGCATCGCCATGGTCGGCTTCAATTGTACTGGTCCGAAAAAAGATGATTCTGTTAGATTCTGCATTGATTTTAGAAAATTAAATAATATTACTACAAAGGATGCATTTTCCATGCCTCGAATTGATGTTTTTTGGTTACCTGTCACAAGCTGAATATTGTACCACTCTTGATTTCAAATCAGGTTATTTTCAAGTTGAACTTGACCCGAAGGATCATCCAAAAAACAGCTTTCTCAACCAGACATCAACACTATCAATTTATAGTACTATCTCAACGTGTTACAAATGGTCTATCAGCATCTCAACATATCGTTAGCCAAATACTTGAACCTACACGATGACAATATCCATTAGCTTATCTCGATGATGTTATAATATATTCGTCAACATTTGGCCATCATCTAATTCATTTTGATGATATTCTTAATCGATTAAATGATGCAAATTTTCATCTTAATGTTAATAAATGTCAAATAGCAAAAACATCGATTAATTATCTTAACCACCACATGGAACACAGCAACATTAGACCAGCTACAGACGACATTCGTGCATTACTCGAAACTCAACAGTCAACAACAGCAAAAGAAACTTTTCGATTCGTCAAAGCAGCAGAATATTATTGCAAATTTATACCCGGATTTTCTACTATTGCACAACCATTACATAAATATGCACCCACTGCAAAAGAACAACGATCGCAAAAATTACAAGCTACACTCATTACATTATCGTATGATGAACTTCATGTATTTCGGAATGTGAACGATGGCATTTAAAATTACAATAATATCAATTTACTATTCGATACATTAAAGGAAAGCACAATATCGTAGCTGATTATTTATCTCGCTCACCAGTAGATAATGAAATAAATGATAAAGACAATTATACTCTAAAAAAATCCAGATCAACACAAACTGATAATTATATGAAGACACAAATCATTGCATCTGTTATGACTCGTACACAAGCAAAACAATAACTTATTGGAAGAACTGATCGTCAATCGATATACCAGTCGATCATTCCTGCGTTTCAAGACCTAATCAATTACAAACATCAGTGATCAACAGTGATTCTAATAAAATATTCCCATTTACATTAGAACAATTGAAAGAATTACAACACCAAGATAAAGAATTTAACAACATAATTCAAAATATAAAGAATCATAAGGGGTATTTTAATAAAAATAGTATGTTAATGAAGAAAGCATTCTCACCAGTTTCAGCTATACCTAAAGGACAAATACGTTTAGACATAATTAAAACTTATCATGATACACCTGTAAATGTAAAGTCGGTAATCTTGTCCTTATTAAAGCATTAAACATGCGAAACAAATTCGACATAAGATATGAAGGATCTTTCAAGATTATACAACAGCTCAGAAGGAAAATATTCATCGTTAAACACATTAAAAACACTCATTAATTCGACAAGCTATAATAGATGTAATTATACTCTTATTGGAACGATAAAACATGGATTATAGCTATTTCACACTTGTGTTAACTCATCATACTTGTCTATGTAACGTGAGAGATACAAATATATATACAAAAAAGAATTTCTTTTCATTTTATTATTATCATTGTTTTTTTTCGTTTATACATAACACGACAAAAGTGAACTTTTCAAAAAAAAGTGTATGTTCAACACGTTTTAGAAATTGTTACATTCCATCATACGAATGATTATTAAAAAGAAACCACTCATGCAAACTAAAAAAGGTGGAATTTGAAAACAAATTACAAGAAGCATATCGATATATTTACAATGGATGCATTCATCGACGAAGCCAAATTAACAACTAATTTTTCTATGGATACAGAAGATGATGCATTATCGCACAAGTCTGCAACATTACAAGTTGAATTTATTCGTCCAAACACCATTATTATCGTTTATATCGATAACAGCGTTTTTTGTTTTCTTCGCTCCTACATATGCTGTTGAACGTACGTGGTTTTCTTTTCTTATTTCTTGTTGTTTTTCCTTATTTTTTTTACTTTTCTTCTTTGTTCTCATGTGTGCAGACATACATTTTTTTAAGGGGTTAGATTGTTAGAGGCTTCATTATTATATATTATACTTTCTTCCTTTTTCGTTTCTCTTTCTTCTCTCTTCTATCTCTCTCCCTGAATATATCTTCTCATTCTTCTTAGTTTATTTTTCTTTGATATGATATGTATTCGTTGGTTTCTTTATTCTATTTTGTCTTCATGTTTAAACTCTAGGTATTTTCCTTTGATATATATATATATATATATGAGTGAATTGCAACTTTTTGGTACGATTGAGATTTTAGCTGCATTTGACCAATAACTTTTGTTTCACTCAACCGATTTGGACGATTTTTTTACATGTTATTAACCTCTTACTGTCCACACCCACACCACGTTTCAGCTCTTTACTTCATACTGGCGCTGAGTTATAAGGAATATATTACAAAAAAAAGTCATTTTTTGATGACATGTGCAAAGAAAAGGAAATTTTTTGACTATAATAGAACAAGAGAAAAAGGGTATAAATAATCTAGTATGTACAGCTTCGACACTCTTTCATAATATATAATTTATTTGAATTTTATTTCTTCTTTTCCCTCTCTTTCAATATCCACATTATTTTATAGACACTTATATGTTTTTGTGCAGAGTGACACAAACTCATTTCTAGCTCTCTTGGCGATAGAGCTAGCGGCGCGCAGACCATATGTGAAGAGAGAGAACTTTTATAGTAACCAGCTGGCGAGAAAAAGTGCTCTCTTATAAGCTTTATTTCAGAGAAAGAATAACAGGACTTTCTATTAAAAAAAGTCATTATACTCACTTTGTAGAGTGATATTTTGAAAATTGCGTACTCTATAACTCTCCATTAGGTTGTTCGATTTGGCTCAAAGTTTTATAGTAGATGTAAAACAAAAAGTTGTATAAGCGGTAAAAATTTCAGTCTTTGATCTTGTACCGTTCAGAAGAAATTTATAGTATACTGAAAAATGTAGAGTGACGCTTTTCCCCTAGATATGTCCACTTGAATCCTCTAGCAAATATTCTTTTTAAATACACCTCAGCTCAGCAAAAAGCAGTGAGCATATCTGTATATTGTGAGGTTTTTCTGATTTTGTAATACTGGTTAATTGAATGGAGCCTTTTCACTATATAATGTACATTTTATCATTGAATTTAGCAGAAACTGAACTATACTTCGTGTATCTCGCTTAATATACAGTAACAAGTGTCGGGAAAATTTTGCCACGTAACACAGACATAGCGTGTAATAAAATGCACTACTCAGAAATTGTTTAGGTCTACTTTCATTTTTCCGGGGCAATCTTACCAAAAAGTTGCAATTCACTCATATATATGTGTATGCGTGTTTTCTTCAAAAGGTCAGGTAGAGAGTAGAGATATACGTGTGTGATATGTGTGAGTGCATTTTTCGTTTTGAAATAAAATAAAAAGACGAAGATCTAAAATTCGACCTCTATTAGTATCTAAAGACGGTGAAACACATCATTTTCTACTAGAAAATCTTACTTATGCTCAATTTTATTCTGTACTTGTTTCATGATATTTTTCTGTTTATAGCAAGTAGACATCCCTTATTTTCATCTCAACTGATTCTTTTTCAAATAAATGTTCAAAAATTATGATTATTGTTTTGTTATATCTAATTATTTCTAAGAATAATTTCTCTTTATTCTCGTCTAGCAGAGAAAAAAAAGATGATGACGGTTGATTAATGTTTAACTACCAATGATGATGCATTACTCTTTTTTTTTTTTTTTCTCGATTTCTGACTTTCATTTAAGTGTCTCAACAACATTTAAACTTGGTTGCTTATTAGATTACAGAATATAAGATTATCTGAAAACGATGGCTGTGACAATTCTACCGTTCGTACAAGAAGTATTGATTCGATATGTTATGTCTACCTATTTAGCAATGGGTGTTATGGGTAATTTGTGTAATTGCATGATATTCAGGCAAAAATCGTACCGTCGCATTCCATGTTCAACCTATCTTCTTGCTCTCTCTGTTTTCGCGATTATTTATTTGATTTGGTCAGTTTCTCCACTTCTCTATACACTTGATCATTTTGTTCCAGAATCACAATCGTTGGCCTATTGTAAAATGAGATTATATGGTAGTCATATTCTCGGACAGTTTGTTCGTAGTCTAGTCGTGTTTGCTTGTGCCGATCGATTTTTTATGACGCAGACAAGTGTTCGTATACGATCTTGGAGTTCAATTAAAATTGCAAGAAAGCTTATAATCATTATGATTCCAGTGTGGTTAATAGCAGGTTTTCATTTACCGGTTTTTATGGATATACGAAACGGTGTTTGTGGTCTTTATGACTTCTACAAATTGTTTTATGCAATTTACCAACTTACTCTAGTTGGTATTTTACCACCATTATTAATGAGTATCTTTAGTTTTCTTACCATTTATAGTCTTCATCACATGCATGGTTATCAGACACATATTAGAAGAAAAGATCGTGATCTGATGCGAATGCTAATTGCAGAAATTATCGTAAACATCTTTACATCAATTCCCTTTTCAGCAAATCTTGTGTATGGAGCAGCAACATATTATGTTGTTGATAAAAGTATTCAACGACTTGAAATTGAATCTTTCATTACTTTCTTCTCTCAATTTCTTATTCATATACTTAGTGTTGCTCCATTTTATCTATTTATAATAGCATCAAAATCATTTCGACATGAATTTATTTGTACAATAGTCAAGTGGTGGCATAAATATATTCCACGGCAAGTTCGAGTCGTCCCATTAAACATATGAAACACTGCCGGACCGTAATTTGTACAGCAGTTGAATATGAACAATAAAAATATATTTAAGAAACTGACAGTAACCTTGTCAGCTGGGTAAGCTTAAGATATAAACGCGACAATGTCATGGTTATCAATCGAAATCATACTTCAGTACCTCAAAATGAGATGCTGTTCGCATCAAGCTCAGCAATAGGCTAACTTGTAATAAACATTTCAGACATTGTGGACAAAGTTTCTCTCTCGTTTCAAAACCGATTATCATACCTCTAATATTCTCTCAGTCGTCAGTATTGACTGATATTCAAATGTTTTTAAAATAAGTTCATGCATTTGTTGACTAAACAAACGAATTATCTACGATAATATGAAAATAAAAATCTTCATGTCCTAATCAATGATAGTCAGATGCCGATTGAAGAAGGTGTTGGAAAAGAGAAGAATAAATTGGATGACAATGGTGAAATCTACTACGACCATATCGTATAGTCGAGAGTGAATGCACGATAGCAAACATACCGTCTGTTTTTTGCGTCGATTTTGCAGACTCATTGAAGAATCAATTTTTTTAAATGTGGATATGGACAGATTCATGGTGAGTATAGTTGCGTTGTCAGGTTTGTCGATATCTTTTCGAGACAAACATGTATTATAAGAAAGATTTGATCACATGTCTATGAAGATCAATACATAAAAGTTTTCTCTTAGGCAAAATCTGAACTAATTTACAAGGCGAAGATATCTTCAAAAGAAATACTTCGTGTAGATCAGTGACACGTGCTCAGTTTATTTTATATTCAGCTCACTTATCAGTGACTTATCATTGAGGGTGTGGGTGTGTGGGTGATAGTATGGGTGTGATTGGAGATAAGATCCCTAGTAGCAGCCACACCCGGACCAAAAAAAACCATTTGAATATGAGTTTCTATAGGACGGCATGCGACATGAGATATTTAAAAGTACTCTATCCCATGAA